GTTGGGCACTTATTTGAAATGGTCTGGGCACTGGGGAAAGGATCGCTGAACAAAGCAAACTCCCCATTCTCGGGTAACTTACTTTGTCAAGTGACTTTGCCCAACAGAGAGATAACAAATAAATTAGCAAAAGAACACAATCGTTTCCAATACAGATAATGTGCTATAAAGGACATCGAACAATAAATGATAAATTCATGTTGTGGCACTTTCTTGGCGGGGGTGAGGGGAGGGGAGGAATGACCTTTTTTCCATCTCAGATCTCACATGGTGCCACTAGGTCCCCAAGGAGGGATTTGCTTATGTCTGTGACCGGTATGTTGACTAAGCTCTACTCACAGTGTTGATCAAAACACAACTTCTTTAAAACGGGTTTAACAGTGAGAATAAACTTGCCCCGTTTGTGCATAAAAATTCTGGTAAGCCCGGTGACTTTTCTGCTCACTCTTAACAGTCCTGTAAACAGTCCTGTGGTCACTGCACATTACAAATATAGTTTGTCAGAAATTATAATGTCCACCTAAGATATTAATAACAATTCTGGACTGGATTTCACTGCAAGCTCTCCTACCCCAACTGGGGTGTGTGCCAGGCTGGAAGCTGCACTGGGAAAAGGGAGGTCCTCTGCCTCGTGCACATCCACGCCTCCTTGCTGGCTACGGCTCTGAGCTCCAGCACGGGAAGCGGACTAGCACCACTATAAGGCAGCTTCACCCTGCGTGCGCCAGGCAGACAGTTAAAGCTGATTCTTCTTGCAGGCAACTTCTGGGGGCTCTTCACAGCCTCCCTTTTGGGCCCCTCTCTCATGAAATCCCCCTGACCTGCTTGGTTCCGGCTTTACTCCGGGTGGCTGGTCACTCATTTCTCAGCTTTTTGCCGCTGAGGTTACTTTGGCCCTGAAGGCGGCCCTAGTGGACCAGATATGTGAGGACCTCGCAACGCCCTGGCTTCCCCCTCCCAAGGAGCCCACGTGGTCGATGAGAAATACACCTTTGGCTCCGAAAAACCCTCAGAGCACAGGCTGATCTTAACGTATTAGCTTCCTCCTGTCTCCGCTGCCCGAGCATTCCCTCATCGTCTCTCCCATTTCCCAGGGGTCAGGGGCTATCACAGCTCAATGTCTAGTGCCTCCAACTATAGGGGTCACGCAGCAAGCACTCTGGGTTTCAGGGGTCCAGAGTGGTGGGACTGACTTAGGCCGATCTCCTTTGATATTCTGCATAAGCCAATGTATCGCATGCTCGTTTTTTTTAACGAAATCATTTTTCTTCCTCTTGTTTTTGATAAGGTGTTTTTGAGACCGTGGAAATGCTACCATCCAAAGCTGGAGTCTGGCGAGTAGAGTGCCTCATTGGGGAACACCTGCAGGCTGGGATGAGCACGCTTTTTCTGGTGTACAGCAAGAGTGAGTGCCAATGCGGGCGCAGGGCCCCCGCGTGCCCAGCCCACCTCTGTACGGTTTTTCTCCTTCTTAGAATGATTGACTTTCTCAAGAATTAAATACGAATTCAGAGTCATTATCAAATCTGAAAGGCACACTGCCGGTAGAAGTCATCAGTGACCTCAGAAGAAGGCAGATAGGCTTCAAGCTTTAAACACTTTGAATCCAAAGCTCTAAATATTTAACAAACCGGGCCTACAAAAAATACCTCTCCATTTTCACAATTTTGTGACGCTCCAAGAGCAAATTGTGAAAGTCAATTTCAGTCCAATTGCCAAAGATAACTTAGATAATTTACAAGTATTGCTCGAAAAGAGTTTGAGATTTAACCCCGAACAAGTATGAGAACCACTAGTCTACTTACACCTGGGCCCGACTTTCCTCAGCTGCAAAACGTGAATAGTTCCAGCATTTTCCTGTTGGGGCGAATTAAATGAGATAGAACAATAAAAGGTTTAGTACAGTAAACTTGTCGGCACACAGTAAACACTAAAAAATATGAGCATTTGTTGGTATTCTCCCATTTTCATTGACTTGCATTTGTGAAGCTGAATTTCCTGCACTTCTAGCTACTGTGTCCCCTCGTTTGATTTCAGAGTGTCAGACTCCACTGGGAATGGCTTCCGGACGCATCAGAGATTTTCAGATTACAGCTTCAGGACAATATGGTAAATACTATTACTTTCTGTCCAAGAACTGGACTTATAGCTTTTCTACTTCTATTTGGGGAGATTCACATAACCAATCCCTCTCCACGTTTCTATTAGTTCTACTCCATAGATGCTTCCCAAATCTATTTTTTCTTCATTTCCCACTATGCCCATCTTAATTCAGGCCACTGTCACTTCTCACCTGGGTAAGGCCACTTCCCCTTTAAATATCCTGTCTGCCTTCAGTACTGTTCTCTTTGAGTCTCTTCTCTTCACTGCAACAAGAAGCTACAGTTTTCTCTGAGCAGTGACACTTAAGCCTGACTAGGCTATACAGTTTCTCCAATACTGTTTTCGAGGGAGGGCCTGCCTGCAAACTACAGCCTATGGGCCAAATCCAGCCCGCCACCTGCCACCTGTTTTCACATGGCCCTCGAGCTAAGAACCATTTTTCCATTTTTAAATGGTTGGGAAGAAACAGAAGAAGAAGAATATCTCATGACATGTGAAAAGTATATGAAGTTCAAATTTCGGTATCCGTAAAGAAAATCTTATGTTGGCACAGAGCCATGTCCGTTCGTTTATAATCACTCTGCCAACAGCAGCTAAGTAGTTACCATAGAGCCCAGATGAACTGCAAAGCTAAATTTATTTACTATTTGACTCTTTACAGAGAAAAAGCTGGCCAACCCCTCCCTGTTTTAGAAGGGAAAAAAATTCCCTTTAAAAAGGGGCTTGAGAGTTATATATCAAAATAGTACTATTTTTCTCTGGATGGAAAAATGACGTTTTTTTCTTTACTTTTTATTTTTACTTATGTTTTAGTTTTCATTCGCTGATGTTTCCACAATGAACATCCCTTGTGTAATAAAGAAATAATTATATTATTTGGTAGCGCTGGTAACACATTCCAGTATCAGCGAATTAAAGGTGCTAATGGTCAACAAAATTATTAAATTTTAGGAAATAAAATGGACAAGGAAAACAGTCATTGATACTCCTGTGCTTTATCCTTCTTCACAGCTAGGATTAACCTTTCTCAAGAGAGTAATTTTATTCCCAAGTGTCTAGACCCAACCCGGCTGAATCTACTCTTTCTCCCTTTTCTTGGGCAAAGGACAGTGGGCCCCAAAGCTGGCCAGACTTCATTATTCCGGATCGGTCAATGCCTGGAGCACCAAGGATCCCTTTTCCTGGATCAAGGTTAGAAAACGCAGCACACTGCATTGCACCACGCATTCCTGTTGCAAGCTCACAGCTCTGTGCATCCCTCTTATACTGACTGAAGTCATTTCCATCAAACTCCAGGTACCAGACGAGGAAAGACCTCGGGAGTAGAACTGCACACTCTGATGTGTTCCGTTGATGTGTTTTTGGTCTTTCTACTGGGATTAAATCATTTGAGTATTTCCTACAACATTGAACTCACCACCTCCCAAGGTTGTGTATTCCATAATCAGATGCCTCCGACCACACAGGTGTCCTTGAGTCCTCCAGTCCCTTTAACACAAAGACAAATAGGTCAATCTCCCACCACACGAGCCAAGAAAATGTGGCTTTATTTTATAAATTTAAATCCGTCTTCTTCGCTAATTCTATGCCGCGGCATGGCAGGAAACACCTACTGAAGTTATTCCAATCTTGCAAACTAACTTGGAGCCGAGAACTGAAAGCGTCTTTGGGTTAACTCAGTTCGTTTTTAAATGACAGTCTTTCAGATTTTCTCTCTTTCCAATTTCCTCTAAAGAGGCACCGTCCAACAGAAATATGATGCGAACCACAAATGCAAACCACGTGCAATTTTACATTCCCAGTAGCCACATTGTGAATGAAACATGTGAAATTCATTTTAACAATACATTCTATTTAACCCCACATATCCAAAAGTATTATCAGGTCGACGTGTGATCAGTCAGGACTGTGACCCCTTTGAGGGCATACCTATGGGCACTGCTGGTCCCTTCCATGCCACGTGAGGGCTGAGGGCAGCTCGGAAGTGCCACCTCAGCCCCTCTGCCTAACCACAAGGGTAGGTTCCCTCTAGAGCCCAAACAAGAAAAGGGAGGAAACTTCTCTGCTTCCAGCTTTGCGCTCAACCTACTTGACGTGCCCCCCATATCCAGTACTCACAGGCTCGAAAGGGCCCAATGCGCATGCGCCTCTCCACCTTCCTCCCCGAGCTCCATCCAGTTCTCGGAGCACGTCGGCTTTCTCCTCCCCCTTCGGAGCTGGCCGAGGACATTCCCCTACGTACTTTCCCCTCTGTGAAGTTGCATCTGTTCTTCTACTTTTCCTGAGGTTAAAATAACGAATAGGAATCAGGAAAAATACACTGGCTCACCGGTAAGTGACACGTCTGTCGATGCCACATCGGCTTGCAGACAGCCACATCACAGCACCCTTGTTCTGTTCGTTTTGTAGGCACTGCCAATTACAACTCGATTTGAGAGGCCTGTTCACTAATCCCTAAGTATTTGGTTTGTTGGTTTGTTTGTTTGCAAGGCGCCCGACCACATGTTCTCATCTTGTATTTCTGTGGTTATCACTTTCAGTCAACCTTACATGTATCTCCGTGTAGTGGACATTCTAATCTATCTGGCTACCCCACATCTGGTCTCTGTATTGATTTTTTTGGAACCTTACCCTCATTTCCATTTCGGGAATTATATCTTCCTCCCTGGATACATTATGATGAGACCAATAAATAGAGTGTCACTTCCTTGCCAAAGAACTTTGAGTGACACACCCTAGGTTAAGTGTCCACTTATTAGATTTGACCCATCGTCCCAGCTTGGCAAGATTCTGTCTCCCGAAGTACTTCCTAGTCTCCCCAGTTTCACATAATTTACTGACTTGATCAGTAAACTTTTTCATATTTTAGCAAAATCATGGTCAGGCTTTATTAAAACTACTAGGAGATACAAATAGTCAGTGGTCCAGAAAGACCCTTCATATATGCTACAGGAAGAAACAGTATAAGTCAATTCAACAAAAGTCATGATTTTTGTACCTGGAACTTTCGGTTGTTTATGCCGTGAAACCAAGGGGAAAAAGGAAGTGTCTTCAGTTGGAAATAACATCTAATTTGGGAAAAGACAGCGCTGTAGCTTCCGAAGACCTTGCCACTCTCTGTCCTGTTACTTTGCTCCATTTTTCTCCTGCACTTATCACTACTTGGTGCTGTAAACAAAGAAAAATATATATATGATATACAATCTGTTTCTCCAACTCAAATTAAAGTTCCATGAAGACAGGGCTTTTTTTCTTGGTCACTACTGTATTCCCAGTAACTAGAACAGTGCTTGCCACAGCACGAATGCAAAAAAAAATCTATTCTTTGAATAAACCAGTGTGTGGATGGATGGAACTTGTCGTCTCTGAAAGAGACAGTCCTTAAGCAAAAGAGTCGTGATCAGTCCCATCCGAGTGTGCCAGGCATCTGTGAGAAGTAGCTTGATGTGCTTGTCAGGACGGCTGAGGCCGCAATTCCATAGGAGACACTCCACTGTCATGCTTGCATGCTTCCTGCCATCATTCACTCATTCATTCCCAAACATCTGCCAACCATCGGCATTATACCAGATGCCCTGTTAGATGCTGGGGCTGGTGAGAATACAAACGCTAACGTTTATTAAGTTAGTATGTGCCAGGCACTGAAGTCAGCACACTGCACCTATTATCTCTTTAATCTTTCTGGTAGCCCTTTGAGATAAATATCATTATCGCCACTTTACAGATAAAGAGGTTGAAACAGAGGTTAGGTGACTCAAACAGATTCACTGCCTTAAGGATCTCACTCTAATGAGGGAAGGCAGATACGCAAAGAAACTTTTATGATAAGGTGCACTTGCTTGTTACAGTGAAGTTATACAGTGTGAAGTAGAAGCACGGAAGCGGCAGAAGTAAATCTGGGACAGTGAGGAAAGGCTGAGCAGGAGAAATTGGCCCTGAACGAATATTTGAAGGAGGGGTAGCGGCGTATCACGGACAGCGGCGTTAGGATGGGGGCTGGTCTGGGGAGAAGGGATGAAACTGGCTTCGGCAAGGCCGAGGTGTGGGCAAAGCACTAGGCTATGCGGGTCCTTGCGTGCAGCACAAAGGATGTGTGTAGAGGAAATGGGGGCTCAGTGATTTCGAAGTGTTCTGGTTCTCCAGGATGTAGGCCGGGATTTCGATAGGCACTTTACCTACTCGCTTCCATCATATACCGCACAGCTTCACGCACGCCCACATTTCAACACTGGTTTCTGCTTCACCTGCCCGTCCAGGGTAATGGGGGGCATATCTGTGCCAACCCAGGTTCTCCCTAGGCCGATAATTAATTTCAGAAGGAGGTACATGCATTTAAAATACTGTTTCCATTGGCAGGTGGACCTGTTGGCACCAATGATTATACACAGCATCCTGACCCAGGGTGCCCGTCAGAAGTTCTCCAGCCTCTACATCTCCCAGTTTATCATCATGTATAGTCTTGATGGAAAGAAGTGGCAGAGTTATCGAGGGAATTCCACTGGGACCTTAATGGTATGTAATTAGCCCTTTCAAGAGAATGCTTGAATCTTTTAAAGAGCTTCTGACAGAGTCCAGATGTGGGACAAACGCTCCTAGCATCTACAAACTTAACTCCACAAAGCAGTTTTCCACTTACAGGTAATAGAAGTGATTATGGCTATACAGACGAAAAAGTGGTAGTGTCAGGATCTCATAGATAATGGAAATGAAGAGATGCTTTACTGACAGAAACATGTGATTCAGGGCTGGGTGTATTGATGAGACTGTGAATTTGCTTACGGGTATTCTAAGTTCGAGTTGACAGCCGGGCAATCAGGTTGAATGCTCAGCAGGCAGGTGATGTAAGGACTGAGTTTCGGGGCAAAACTGTGAATGGAGATGAAGATATGCATCTTCCACACCTTGGGAAATGATGAATTCTCTGGGGGTGAGCTCAAAGACCCTTAATTAAACAGGCTGAAAACCTTAGCATCATCATCTGCTCTCCCCTCATTTTTACTCCCTCTGGCGATGTGATCCACAGATCCCGCCAATTCTTTCTTTGTACCACCTCTCACGTCTCCTGTTTCATTTCTACTGCTGTCACTATAGCCCAAGGCCCCATCGCCTCACACCTGACCTTGTGTGTTACATTCCTAACTAGTCTCTTCTCTAATAAAAGCTACACGTCTTTTTCAGAATAATCATCTCATTGTTTCTCTGCCAAAAACCTTTCAATGTCTCCCTTTGGTCTTCAGAATAAAGGTCAAAGTCCTCAGATGGCCCAGTGCAAGAAAACTTCTGTTAGCCCGTTCAGATCTATTCTCCTGCTTCCCTGCGCTACCCTTGTCCTGTGAGCCTGACCTTTACAGGCCACCTTATTTCCGGCTCTTGGTTGGGTTTCACCAACAGAGATCACTGGCAAGAAATTAGAGGAAGGGAGGAGAGTAAGATCAGGCATGCCTTCTCCTGGCTCCCTCCTTATGGAAGGTTCAGCTGTATCTCCGCACTGAAGGTCACTGCTCCCCTCAAAGTGGCCTTCTCTACCATTTCCAGCTACTATCGCTGAGTTACTACGTTACCGACTGTATTCCCTATGCTGTACTTCGCATCCCCGTGGCTATTGTGTAATTGCCAATTTGTACTTCTTATTCTTAATCCCTTCCCCTTTTTCACCCAGCCCCCCTAACTCCCCTCCCCCATCTGGCCAACCATCAGTCTGTTCTGTGTCTATGAATCTGTTTCTGTTTTGTTTGTTCGCTTATTTTGTTCTTTAGATTCCACATGTGAGATTATATGGTATTTGTTTTCCTCATCTGACACTTCACTTAGCATAATACCCTCTAGGTCCATCCGGGTTGTCACAAATAACCCCACCAGGTCTATTGTGCTAGGGAAAGGGCGCCGCTGGAAAGGAATGAAGCTCTGAGACCTGGGCTGGGTACATTTAAGCAGGCACGGATGAGGCTGGGGACTGCAAACCTCCAAATTCCCCTGAGCTCCTCTGCCTAAGGAAGCAACTGTCTCCAGTCTCTGAAGCAGTCATCCCTTCTCTGCGTAAGAGTCTTTCAGTGACCACACCTAGAAGGTGACTAGGGCCCCTGTTTGGCCACTACAAAAACCAGACAAATCAGGGAAAGATGACAGATCATCACAAATATAATTAGGCTGTGATGGCGAAAACTGCAATTCCAGACGTGGTGTCTGCTCTGGAACAGATTAACACAGACCCAGGCACCTGACGTAGACCTGGAAAATGCTTTTCCCTTCATTCCCATTGATGAGCAAAATCAGAATATATTTGCATTTATGAAGTAGGAACAAGAGTAGTAATATTAACTTTACTGTTCAGACTTCAGCGTGATGCCAGCTTCCTTATTCTTTGTCATAATGTAACTGTAGACCCAAGGGACTCCAAACATCTTGCTACCCCACACAACACCATACCAGTCCATTACATTGATGACACTACGCTGGCTGGCAGAACCTGATAAACAGGAAATAGCAATCACCCTAAGTGTTTTTATGATGATCAATACACATGCACGGAGACACAGGCACCCATACAGACATATATGCATAAACACGAGACAAATCAGCCTATCTTGTTCCTGACTTTAATGCGGATGGAGCTCACATGTCACTGTTTAATGTTCACTGTAAGTTTCAAACAAATACTTTTTATCGCATTTTAAAAGTTTCCTTCTATTCTTACTTTACATGGAACGGCTGCAGAATTTCATCAAACGTTTTTTGAGTATCTTTGATAGGATCTCATTTCTTCTTTCCTGCTATCAAACTATACTTACATTCAATGACGTGCTAGCAAATGTTTAAGAACTAGCTCTGGGAAACAATAGGGGGAGGTTAGGGGGAACAGGCCTCGATGTGGAGAACGTGCGATTTTGCTACCTGTAGTTAACTGCTGTAAATGTGTATATTTGAGTTCTAACTCCCTTATCATCTATATATCTGTATCTACACACACACGATCTCTTTTTACCCCTTTATCAGAGTTAGCGAGTGCTTGTCTATTCTACTGGATATTCAAAGAATCACTCTTTGTCTTAAAATCGAACGTAGATTTGAAGGTGGTGTTTCCTAATTCATTAATTTCTGTTCAAAACTTTAAAGGTTCTTTCAATTTTTTTTCTGGTTTACTTTGTTCCCTAGAATCTGCAGTTATTGAATGACTAGTTCATTGATTTTCAATCTTTCTTGTTCAATGATAACGATAAAAGAGTTCTTAAGTACTCTCATAAGGGTCATTCCTTTAAGTTACTGCATAACTACAGTTGCCCCTGGAACAACTCGGGGGCTGGGGTACCCATGGCCCAAGCAGTTGAAAATCCACTCATAATTTAAGAAGGCCCTCTGCATATGTGGATTCCCAATCAGCAGCTGACCCTTGAACAACGTGGCTTTGAACTGCATAGGTCAACTGAAAAAAATCTGAGTGTAAGTAAAGCGACACAGTTCAAGGTCACCTATACTATGTTCTAGGTTCTAGCAAGGGGTGGGGGCAAATGAGAGCTCATGGATTTGTACTACACCCTGCTTTCGTATGAAATGAGTTAAGAATGGCTTTTATATGTTTAAAGTTGCAAAAACAAAGGAAACTATGCAACATATACCATTTCTGGACTGAAAAGACGAAAATATTTCCATCTGGTCCTTTGACAGCACAAGTCTGCAGACTGGTGGTCCAGTCTACTCGCAGTAGAGACACCTAAAGAGCCGATATTAACCAAAACCCTGCCACCCCTGAGCCTGCCTAATTTGTGAATTTCAATCTTAGTAATCTTCCTCTACTGCAGTTCATCTCAAATGTTTTCCTATCTTTGTATCATTCGCAAATTATTTTTCATAAGCAATATTTCTCATCATAAAGGGGATAAGGGGAACCCCAAAGCCCTTGAAGGATCAGTCCTTCACAGCCAGCATTTTCAAGTTTATAATGTTCTAAATGTTACTTTTGAATTGTCAGTGAACCTTTCAAGGCTGATCTCTCCCACTGATTTTGCAAGTTAAAAAGAACACTGCTCATGGCCTTTAATGTGTACCTTTGGTCATGTTAGAGAACACTGTTAATTTTAATGTTAAGTTGATATAGAGCAAGAGAACTGTCAAAACCACTGAAATCTGGCCCTGGCCCAGCTGTCCGTGCTATGAACTTTGAGGGACGTACATAAATGAGCCAATGGCAAATGGAAAACAACCTTTAACGTTTCCAGAAATTATACCTGGCTCTCTGGTAATCCCTGCCCCCACCTCATCGATGCAATGAGTTTAGACCAGAGGCCTAAGGAGGACTTTTTAAAGCCCAAATCCAAATACTATCACCAGTCACATAACTCCTAAGCATTCGTGTCATGACACAATTACGCAGCCAGCCAGGCTGCAGCTCAGTTTGAAAGTAGCGTATCAGAAAAAGCAAAGGCACAACGGAGCATGCACACTTACCACTTATGCAATAAATTGAACTAGCTTTTAGGACCCTTCCTAGCAGCCAAGTGAGAGCACAGGAACAGTGGCTCAATCTGTCTCAGATGGGCGTATCCTGTAGTTCCTTACCTATGGCTTCCACACTGTTGAAATAGAAGTAGAAAAGAATACTTTTAAAGTCCCACCCATTTTGAGGCACTAAACTCACAGTGAAAACCATCCACATACCCCCCAAAAAGGGCAAAACAGAAATCTCACCCCCAAATATTACGACAGTATACAACTTCAGCCTAAAGGATGCATTTTTCCAAAGCTGAATGATTGAGAATGAGATTCTACACTGTAAAAAAAAAATTGAATTTTAAGAAAAGCTAAGTCGGATGGC